AAGTATACAAATGGAAAATTGTTAAGATCAATGGATTAAAGAGCTGCGGATTCACGTTTTTGTGAATCCGGATCCGAGGTCTTTTCCATTAATACTTGGCATCCTTCACGTACATAAACAAGTGAAAGATCAAGGTTTTCAGGTCTATATATGTCTCATTCAAAAAATGCAATATTTTCTAACTGTAAATCGAGTTATTTAGAAATGATGTAATTTGATATAGCTGGAGGAAATTATACAAGAAATAGAATTAAAACGTCAACTTTAAGAGAACTTTTGCTTTTTAGGCAAAAAAAAAATCATAATTTTTCGGTTTTTCATCGCTAACACAACTTCGAAGTGTTCTCTATCAAATATATACTGCTAGTTTTCGATTAGTTTAGTTAGAGAAAAAAGTCCAAATAAATTTTCTCTCTACACAGTACGTCCGATTGGACTCAACACTTTTTTATAAATATTTTTGTTAAATCGAGATTCGCTTTTTTTTTTGGTTTTTCTTCCAAATATTATTTCTTTAAGACATCAATTTATCAAACAATTACAAGTCACTTATATGTATAGCACATACCAGGAACAAATGGTGGATTATCTAATTTATTATCTGTACATCCATCACTCGATCCATCAAGAAAATTCGATGGTTCATTCATATCCTAAAACACAAAAAATTATAAAATATAAATAAACAAGAAAAAAAAACCAAACATATTTACAATCCACATTCCATCAAATGGAACAATATCATGAAAAGTTGAAACTATATTAGTCCACCATTCAGTAGCATTTGGATTTGTAAAATCAGGAAAAACTGTTGTACCAGGCCAAACCTTTAATAATAATATTTTAATACAAAAAAAAATTTTAATTTATTTTCTTCTTACTTTTCCATTAATTAATTCAGTTGAATTAAATTTTGTTATAAAAATATTTTTTTTCAATCCATCATCATATGGTAAATATGATCCTGATGGTTGAATTGAACTAATACCTGGATCAATAATATTTACATAATGTTTTCCATCTGATTGTAATTCACGTACAAGATTTGGAAGATCATGAAAATTTTTTTCATCATATGTAAAATCAAGATAAGATGACATAGCATCAATATCTGTCCATTGTACATCATATGGAAAATCAGCATTATGCATTCTCTATATTATATTAGAAATAAAATAAGGAAGAGACTTATCAAAAAATAAATTTTACTTCAATAGTTGCTAATAAATTTTCAATAGTATTATATCCATAACGACAAAGATGAAATCCTAATGACCAAAAAGGTGGCATAATTGGTTTCTATACAAAAACAAAAAAAAGAAAATTACAAAAAAATCTTCGACTTTTTTTTGTATATTCTATTACTCCAATAATATCCCAATATTGTTCAATAACATTTTGTACTGTTGGTCCTGTAAAAATATATAAATCAATAATACCACCAATAGTTGTATAAGTTATTGCAGGTAATGGTTGAAGATCAATATCCATTGCATTTGAATTAAGTAAAAATTGTCCATGAAAATTTGTTTGTCCATTTTTATTTAATTCAAGATTAATATGAAATGGATGAACACCTAAATAAATTAAAAAGAAATAATAAATTATTTATTTTAATTTTATAATATTAACCATAAAGATTTGTATTTTGTACTGGTGGAAAATCACGTGACCAAAATGTTAATTTTTTCCATTGTTCTGTTATATTAATTAATAAATCTTGTCGATGTTCTCCAAGACCATATATTAATGGACTTGATAAACGTGTAGAAAATTTAATAAATTGATCAGCAAATATAAGTGGTGATACACTGGAATCAAATCTAAAAGAAAAAAAGATGTTTCAGAGAGAGAGAGAGAGGGAGATACTGTGGATTTGAAGCTTTCAAGTTTTTTTTTTGAAGACATCAACAGTCATTGAAAAACATATTTCTAGGAAGAGATTTGCACAGAGAGTTCACCAAGAAGAAAAAGCTGTTAGTGCAATTCTCGTGAGGTTAAAAGGTGAAACATGAATGTTACTAATCACAAGAAGATTATTTTATTTTGGAACACATTTCTTCAGTATCCTTTTACTTGATCGTTCAGAAATGCAATGGAGAAGTAGTTCGTATATTACAACAAGACGTTGTTGATATACGATGCAATGCTTGTCACATGGAAAGAAGAGGGCTATTACTAAGGTTGTCTATGATCTGTGATGGCATCGGAATAGTGAGTCTGTGAAAATGGAATGCAAATTTTCATCCTTATACTTCAAGACTTCTTTTAAATCGTGTTTCACAAAAGTAACCTTCAATTTGTAAAACTACCCAACATGTACCTCCTGTTTAGATATCCGAAGTTTTCAAGTGAAAATATTCTTTATGTTTTTTTCTTGACGAAAGAAAGTCCTCAACTGATCTACATCATTGAAAATAGCTTGGATCAATTGAGGAACTTGTCTCCTGAGTGCATAATTGCTTCACTTTTATAAGTCAAGATAGTTTGATAACTATACAATGATAATTAACAAGAAAAAATACGATTTATTACAGGCTATGCAAAGAAAAGGATTATTAATTCCGAGAAAAAAACCACCCATCTGTCGACTGAAAGACCGAAAATATACTATTTCTTCATGGGTTACAGTTAGTGACGTAACCCCCGAAGGAGAGGAGGACTGGATCTCTTCGCATCAATTGAAACCGTGCTAACTAAACTGTATCATAAAATTCTCCATCAAACAGAGTCCGATCGTGTTAAGTCTTCTGGCTGTCAAAATCCTGATTACACTAATTATTACATTCTGTAGTATTAATATCCATTTCAAGTTACAAGAAGGATGAGTATTTTTGATAGGAAATACATAGAGATCTGCAATTTTCATCGTTTAAAAGAGGAAATAAAACTGCATTGAATATTCAATACCAGATTTTTTCTGACAAGTTTTTAAAATAGAAAACACTGTATAATGTAAAAGTTTTGGAATTTTAATTTTCAATAATCCATAAAAATTGTTAACTAAAGTTCAATAAACTACGTAACTCTGATATTAAAATATTTAGTCAATCATGAGTTATTAATATTTTACAAAGCATATTCAGCAGATTTTTCACGAAAAATTGACTTTTTTTTTTGATTTTTTTTTGACGAAAAATCCCCCTTCTAAAAAGTCCTATCAAAAATACTCATCCTTTTTTAAATTTGAAATAGATATTAGTTTTTATTATGATGACTCCAAGAACTAAAAAATGATGGAGAAAATCCTCCAACTAACTCGAGACTATCCCATAATGCAAAAGTATCCGTACAAATGTCTGAGGCTATTGCGCAGCGAGGATGAATCATAGAAATCGAATTAATATGTCTTCTGATAGAGTGAAATGAGCTCTTTCGAATGATGTATGACTTGTTCATTCAAAAGGAAAAATAAAGCTGCCACAGGAAAAATATATAGGACTTCTAAAATGAGTTGTTACTTTATGTACCAAAAGTTTTGCGACATCTTTTCGCATATATCTCAGCTTGAGAAAATGATACAACCTTGATCTTTTTCTTAAGAGATGTGCCATGAAAAGCTCTACAAAAACTGTATACAGAAATCCCTATTAACTAGTTCTCATAGTATTTTCCATACTCAACATGAACAACCTACACGATAATGCAATGTTCCAACATGTTGAGCATGATAAAAACGTTTGGAAACCTTTTTTTGTTTTGTGTATATCTCGGCTTGAGAAAGTGATAGCATCTTGATTTTCTTTTTGAAAGATGCACTATCAAAAACTTTACATAAGCTATATGAACAAATCTCTATTGCAAAACAAAAAAGGTCTTCCAAACCTTTTTATCATACTCCACACGCTGGAACATTGCACTATCATGTAGATTGTTCATATTGAGTATGGAAAACACCATGAGAACCAATTAATAGGGATTTTTGTATATAGTTTTTGTAGAGCTTTTCACGGCGCATATTTTAAGACAAAAATGTCGCAAAACTTTTGGTACACCCGATAACAATTCATTTTAGAAGTCCTCCATGTTTTTTCGTGTTGTCAGTCTCTATCAGAAGACATGTTAATTCAATTTCTATGATTCACTCTCGCTGTACAATAACCTCAGACATTTGTATGGATACTTTTGCATCGCGGATTATGTGCATTATGTAGATTCAAATGAATTATGAATACCTTGAAAAGAGTTCTTGCTGCTGAGATAGTGCACTTGTACGGTATATTTTAAATGAATATCATGATAACAGAAAAACTGATTGTCGAATTTAGATTTTCTTTTAATAAAAGAAAAAAAACTTACAATATGACACCTGTTGATTTTCTTGTAATCAATATTGAAAATGGTTGTTCATTAATTTTAACATCATAATCTGTTATATTAACTTTTTTTTGAATAACAGGAACTTGAAATGGTACTTCAAATCGTTGATAAATTGAATCATATATTCGAATACGAAATCGTTGTTCAGTTTCATATATAAGATCAACAGTTAAATTAGTAATATCATTTGGCATATATGTTGTTTCAGATTTATTTATTTGTATTCGTTGACCAAAATTTGTTTGTTGAATTGTTTGTACGAAATATGTTGGAAAATCTTTTGGATAATAACAATAAGGTATATTAACATCATTCAAATATTTTATAGTTGAATTCATTTGTTTTAATGGTGTTCGCCAACAACAATGTCTTTCAAGACATTTATCTTGTGTTGAACCACTTTCTGGATAACAATCAAAACGTGCTACATCTGAACTTTGTTCACATTGTTGACAATATGAATAAGATATTAAACAAAATATTAAAATTAATGATAAATATGCCATTCAAATTGAATATTACACTTATCTACAATAAGAATTCGATATTTGTTCTTCGTTTTTTTTTTTTTTTAATATTGAATACAACAGAAAAATAAAATAACAACAAAACTATTTAAATACATAAGAGAGAAACAGAGAAATGATATTGAATAGTTCTCAAAAAAGAAAAATATAAGTTTATAATACACGAATTTTTGTTTTATCAAAATGTGCTTGTAATTCAGGAAAAACTTGTAAGAGAATTTCATCGAGAAGCATATAAAATAACTAAAAAAAAAATATATATACATATAGAAATGTAAATATAAACTAATTTACTTGTTTATTAAGTAATGGATCTTGAAAATATCGAAAAATTATTTCTAAACCATTTTGAATATTTGTTTTACCAAGTACAAATTTGATTACTTCTAAAAATTCAATAGAATACGAATTATAGTATAACTGGATACTATTGAAACTATTCAAAAATATTTATCACAGAGAAGTTCAATTACAGCAAAAATCACTTTTGTCAAATCTCGCGAAATGTCTACTATGGAAGAACAAGGTTAATATTCGAGTGAAAATTTTAAAATGTATTCAGAAAAAATGATGTTTTTTTGTATTTTGTCTTGAAACTACCCTATGATGCGAAAGTCTTGACATGGTTCTTTCTGAATATGTATTCAGAATTACGTTATAGGTTATTTGCATAGATGAGTGTTATATACAATAGTCTGTATTAAGATTTGTAGAGTTTGTAATTAGATTTCATATCTCCGAAATACGAACTTGTTATAATATTCTTATATTAGTCAGTACACTTCGAAAAGTGCCTATACACTCAGTTCGCAGATATGAAGTTTGCAATTCTTTATACGTACGAGATCTTCAAGACAAAGTCTGTGGTCCTATGGAGGCTTCTACTATATTGACTTATTTAGCTTCACTCATTCTATTCGAGTTTTCACTAAAACATCATATATTACTGATAGGCAAAGACAAAAAATTTTAGGAAGATTCCTTCATTATTAATACCTAGAAAGACCAGTTAGATGCATGATTTCAATCTACTCAATAATACTGAACTTAACATTATTGAACTCTACTTTCACAAAGAAAGCAAACTAGAACTGAGAGTAGAGAATATTAGGTCCAAGAATTTTGGGACTCGGGCCTGATCGATCAAAATTGTTAGATCCGGATCTAATTAATTGATCTTCTGTGAGTAAAGCCCATCGGGCTCAAGAATTTCTAGACCCGATGGGCTTTAACTGAGAGTTACATACTTTTTTCGTATTCGATCGAAAACTTTAGAGACTGACTGCATTTTTTTATAAGCTTCATTCAAAAACACGCTCGCTCTCATAACATTTCTAGACAATCATAACTATGTATTATATTCATTCTCAAGTCTTATAAAGCAAAACTATTTAAAACTTACTTGGTAAAAATTCTTCAGCTGCTGCAACAACATCATCACAATTTACTAAATCTGTTGGACTGAAATATAATTATAATAGAACTATCCTTTGAAATTTGTATTTCTTTTTTTTCTTTGTTACCTTTTATCTTCTACATCATTTGGAAAAACTACATCTATAGATTCAAAAAAAGTTCAATAGAAAATTAAAAAAATTTATTATTTAAATTATACCTCGAAGAGCATGAATTACATCAATAATATTCTCTTCATCATTTATAATTTCATCAACATTATCATCAATAAATTGTGAAAAAAATGTATTAAACGAATTTTTTAATGGTATACGAAGTAAATCTAATAGATAAATTAATAAAGGTGATGCAGAAAAGATTTCTTTTGCTATAAATAAAAACAAAAAAAAAAAGATTAACTTATGTAAAACAAAAATATCAAATTAATATAATATTCATACCAACAACAATTAAATGATCATAAACACTATCAAGTTCATGAGTAGTTGATTTGTCTTCTGTTATAAATTCTTCTATAGGATTTGTTACATTTGCATTATTTCCATAGATTGAATTTGCAAGCTAGAAAATGTAGATTTTTATTTTAATCATTTGAATTATGATTTATTTCTATTACTTTTGCTTCGATAATATCATTAAAAATTGGACTTGGTTGTGTTACTTTTGGTTTTGCTGGTTCAGCATAATTGATTAATGATACAAGAAATGGATCAAGATATTGACCTTTCTATATAGAAATAAAATTTATATTTATTTAATCATAATTAAATTATCTATTGAACCTCAGTACGTAAACGACGTGGTACAACTCGAAACATTTTTGCTAAAAAAATAAAAAAATTTCAAATACAAAGAACTTATTGAATTTTACCTAAAACATCTTCACCATTTGGTAAAGTAAAATCATCAGGTTGTGTAAGAAAATTATATAATAATTCACTATTACGTAATGTTGGTTTAGTTAATAAATGCTAAAAAAACAAATAATTCAAATACAAAAAATATCAATTATTTTGTTTTTGCCATAGTTAAATAGAACTCATCAAATTTCCTATGAAAGTATTTTTCTTTTAAAGGAAAAATTAGATTAAGATCAGATTCTGAATAACAAAAAAAAACAACCTTACATATAACTTACTCTTAAAAAATTATCAAAATCTTTTTTAATTGATTCAAGAAATTCTCGATTTCGAACAAATGTTGTCGATCGTTTTGGTGGTAAACGTGCATCAGAAAAAACTCCATGAAATTGAATTAATTTTTGTTCTAATAAATAAAAATCTTGATAACGTCTAAATCAAACAAAATAATTATAATAATAATAAACTATTTTAAATCATTTTTACCTTGTTATAATCCAATGAGCTTTTTCATCATCATTAATTAATGAATTTTCTAAAAAAAATATAAAAGATTATTATTCTTTGTTTTGTCTTGCTAAACAAAAAGAAATATTTACCATTATTACCATCTAATCGTCGTATTTCAATTATAAATACAAAATATTTTGTATGAGAATGTATATTATCTTGTAATTCTTTAATACCACTAATACGAATACGCCATGTATTTAAATCTCTTTCATCAATAGACTAAAATGAAAATAATTGGAAATAAAAATGAGAAGAAAAAACAAACAAATAGTTGAATAATAACATACACTATTACTACCAATACTTGTTGTATCTTCTGGATATTTTCTATTTACTTCATCTTTTTCTTCCAATTCTATAAATAATCATAATTGTATAAATATATTATAGTAAATCGAATGTTTACTTTTTATTCATTTCTATTTCTTTGAAATTAATAATGATGTGTTTTAGATAAAGTGCACTCAGAATTCTACTATTCGATTTGAACCTATGTGATTCAATAGCTGTCGATCGATAATGAAATTTTGTTGAAATTGGAAAGTAAAGATTGCGGTAGAATAAATAAACCTCTCATGAAGGAACTACTTCAAGTGACGCTAGCTGTTTAAGCTCATCTTGAGCTCACAGGCAGGTCTCAGTGAGAGTAGCAAAAAGAGTTCGTCCTTTTGAACCTTTGTGATCGATTTATTGGATCTTCGATTCATTTGTAGGTAGTTGCCAAAAAGTCAAATGACAGTCGGCTAAAACTTTCAGAATATTCTAAAAGTCATTTTAGACTAAATTTTAGATCGAAACTCCATTATTGAGTCTTTCGGAGAGTACCTAAAAATGGGTTAGTAATCCGATCATAACTCGACGACAAAGGCTCACAGGGACGAACCCTTTTAAACTTTTGCTATTCTCACAGAGATCTACCTGTAAAGTGGTCTGCAAAAGTTTAAGATACTTTAAATTTTTGAAGTTTTTCATCGAAGATGAGTAGCTAGGTCAAATCCAAATACTGATTTGGATAGATCTTAAAATTCCCTATCGAATACAATATGTATTAAATTTTCAAAAGAAACTTTCTTAAGAGAGTTTTCCGGGAAACCGTGCGAAGAGTATTTTGACAGAAAGATTTTTCAATATAAGCATTTGAATGAGTAGAAAATTTTGAACAAAATGAAGAGTTCTCCAGTTCTGTACGATATTCTCTCACAAAGTTATACGCATTAGAAAAAATGCGGTTTTAATCCAATTTTACGGCTTTTTTTTGATAACAATCGACGAAAAACGCGTTTCTTTCATTTTTTCTAATGCTTATAACTTTGTGACGGAATATCGTACAGAGCTGGGCGATCCTTCATTTTGTTTAAAATTTTCTGCTCTTTCAAATGCTAATATTGAAAAATCTTTCTGTTGAAATTCTCTAGGACTTGAAATTCTCCTCGCACGATTTTCTAGAAAACTCTCTTCACAAAGTTTCTTTTGAAATTTTGACACATATTGTATTCGATAGAGAATTTTAAGAGTTATCCAAAACACTATTTGTATTTGACCTATTCATTCATCTTCGATGAAAAACTTCAAAAATTTAAAGTGTCTTAAACTTTTGCGGTACACTTTAGGTCTATTTAGAAGTAAATTTTCTCCCAAAAATGCAGCATGAAATCCTTTGCAAAATCATAGGAGAACATAGATTAAAAAGGTAGAAGAAAACAATTTATTAGATAATCTCAGTAATTGTATACTGGTAACAAATTTTCTATTTCTTTCGACTAATGAACATATGATAAAATGTTTTAAAACATTATTTCAGGTATAATGAACTACATTCAAACTAATAAGATCACTTTAATAACTATTGTATAGAAGTTTAGTCTCTGGATTAGTCAGATTTTCTTTTTCTTATTGCTTTAAATTGACTAATAGCAAAAATATATTTAAACATAACTATCATATATTGAATCGTCTATCTTTTCAATTAAAAACTGTACACCAAAAGAGTAACTTTTGTCTCGAATAAATAATCTTTTTCAAACATGTGTCAGAATTTTGTGATCTTTAAAATAATATTATTAAAAACTATCGTGTTCGTCTTTTTTAGAAACCTAGCTTTAGAATGCATTAGACAGAAAATTTCATTGGCTATTAAAATAACTATTCGGATTTGATCTACGTGCTTAAACATTATAGAAAAAAAAAATCAAAAACATATTTATTGTTAAACTTTTTTCTCAACACTTTACATGATGGTACTACGAACATCATAAAAATACTTACAAAAACTAACGAATATTAATTGTTTGATCCTGAAAAAATGAAGTATTTTAAGCTAGTCTACTTCATTTTAAACGATCACGAGGAATGAATATGACCTAAGAATTTTTCGTACGGATTTCTATCATAAGAAAAAAAAAAGTCTCTTCAAATTGTTCTATATATCTTATCTTATAGAACTCGATGAATCGTATTTACAGTAAAAGTAACTAAAGATTCCTTATCCGTACCCTTGTGAAAATATGGGTTGTATATAACTTGCCTCAGATTCAACCTAACTACATATAGTGAAATCGTGCAAAGTATATCTTTGCAATGATACGATAAGAAGCTGTTTGTTTTTTTACTGTAAATATGACTTATAGAGCTCTAAAAGATAAGATATGTTGTCGGTCATTTAAATATGTTTTTATTTTTTGTATGATAGAAAAATTGCCTAGGTCATATTAATTCTCAACAATCATTTAGAACCAAGTTAAATAGTTTTAATACTACTTTCTTACGTCAGTCATTATGTAGGATCTGTTAAGACTAGAAAAAAAAGTAGAAGGGTTCTTTCTTCATGCGCTGCCGTTTTGATCGTTACATTAATTTATTTACTTTTGCCACAGCTACAAAGGAATTCTGTCTATAGATAGCTCTTGATGCACAAAGCTTTAGGTCAAAATTCGTTTGTGACCGTGCCCAAGATAAACAGACCAATGTAATGGCCATAACCCTGCAAGAGCACCACATGGAGAAGAATCCTTCTAGTTTCAACAGACTTTACGTAATGACTAGGATCTCATCTCAAACGTGAGGTATTACCTCGACTGGTTTCCTGCTTTCAAGTTCTTACCATTCTTTGACCTAGATAAGAGCACTGAATCAATGATTATCTCAAAAAAAAAACAAAATTCTCCTTATAAACTTAGTTACACTTCTCATCCTGTTAGATAAATCGCATCGCAAAACTTAACACTCCAAAACGAATTATTCAAAGCGGTACATCTCTTAATGCAAAATAAAAAGAAAGATGTTTCATATTTAGAAAAGTTTAAGATAAAAGAGAAAGAAATTTTTTTCCATCATTCTCTTCTAATATTTAGAATTCCGATTCAGATTAATAAGAAGCAATTCGTACTATCACTCATACCTTTGTATGATGTTGTTGTATAATGTCTTGATACATTACGTTTCTGTGTATTTCCATTAGCATTTCTAAATAATATTTAAAAAAAAAAGACAAATTAATCACTTTGAATATCATATAACATTAAAAACAAAAAAATAAAACTGGGTATCAATACGGAAATACAAATATGGATATATAATCAAACCTGATTTCGTCAATATGAATGAAATCTAACGTAATATCATCCAAACTAAGATGATTATTAAAATGTTAGTATTTAAAAAAAAACAAAAAAGAAAACTTAAATAGAATGAAAAAATAACTAACTTTTTTTCAATAATTTTATAATCTGGTGAATCCATTCTTCTTCCACACATATAAAGAAAATGTTCATCACTTGTTAAAAAACATCGTTGATATTTTTCTTCAACTAATTCATAAATTTTACAATGAAATCGAGATAATAATGAAAATGTATGTTGCATATCAAATATTTGATTTAAATTATCTGACTTATTTTCAATATTTTCATCATTAACACTTTCTTCTAAATGATTATATATTAAATCTTTTATATCATTTATTAACGTATCATTTAAATCATATGGATTATTAATGCTTACATAACCATCAGAATTTTTTCTATTAAGATAACGTTCATCAATATTTTTTAAACGTCGATGAATTTTTTTTCGTACTAATATATTTGATGCTGATGGAATATCATTTAATATATCAGATAATGTTATATAAATACTTAATAAACCAACTGAACCATGACGATCAAGTACACGACTAAATTGACTTAATAATTCTTTTTCATACATAACATCAGTTAATTGTAAAGATAATTTATTTTTATGTATAGGTCCATTCATTGTACAAAAATGTGTTAATAATTCAACTGATGAATCTGTTGGATTTACAATTATATTCGAAGGTGAATTTCGACGTTGAATAGCCGTTATAAAATAAAGATGAAATAAACGATTCACTGTATTAGGTTCACATATAGCATCAATACCATCGATAAGAATTTGACAGGCAATTAATTCACTTAAAAAATGACGAGATCCTTTACATTCATATACAAATTTTGGTGTTATTATTGGCATTAAATCAAGTATAAGACGTTTTAAATATTTTATTTCCGATTGACGATTATACATTGCTATGTGAAGATCATTTTTAAACATTTTTTTGAGAAAATCATTTGAAAATTGAGATTCATTAAGAGATTCAATTTTAATCATTTGAATATAACGATCTAATGTTTGAAAAATTAATGGAAGTAGACGTTCAAGAACGAATACATTGATATTAACCTTTTAAAAAGAAAAAATTTATTTATTTATTTTTCAATAGAATAAAAAAAAATTAAACAATGAATTCGAGTCCTGATACAAATTTTAGGTTATTAATTTCGTTTATCTATGATTAATAAGTAGTTCAAAAAATTCTATTAAAAAGATTAAACAATATCTAACAGAATAAATATGAACTGTGTATTACGAAATTTACCCTAGAGAATATACTGAGTTAAGGGTACCCGAAAAAGTATCCTGCTACTAGTATGTCACAGTAACTTTTGGATACCAAAGTACTTATAGGTACTTTCAAGTACTTAAATGGTACTTTGGTAGGTACCCTGCTACTAAAATTTCAGGATCGAACCTGACCTTTCACTTTTTGCATTTTTTTTCTCTCAAAGCGATTCATTACATTTTTTTCGATTTTATTATATTTAATTTTTTCAATTCCGAAAACTCAACAGGTCAAATATCGAGATCTGACCGAACTTGAGTTGGTCGAGTATCCATGAGACCACCTCAGGATGGTCCGCTCTTAATCTACGATCAAGATCGGATAGTTCTCGACTAAGAAATAGTGAAGAAATAATCTAGAAAAAATTCGTATGAAAACAGATTGATTTCTTCTGTTTTGCTCAGTTGTTTATGCGGAGTCGTGCGCGAAAAAGAAAACGGTGAATGAACAGTCGCTGCGCAGAACGCGACAAATGTAGGGTACCGTGTAGAGCTTTCCCTCAGTAAAATTACAGATGCGGGTATCCATACCAGTACTTGCTCAGTGAGCGTACTTTTATGGGTACCTCTTGCAGTACCTACATCAGTATAATTACTAAGAACTTTCGAAGTGCCCATATTAGGTATCCTGCTAAGGCTTTCTCAGTACACGGGTACCCTGAACTCAGTACTTTCTCTATGGTAAGCAGATTATCATGATTCAATTAAAAATGTTTTGAACTAAAATAAAATCGAATTTCTAATTCTAATAAAAGTCAGAATTGTTATGAGATAATTACATTTAAAGAAAGAAAACGACATTTTTGTCAAGTTTGAAAATATCAATTGCTATTCTTTCACTCACGAGAGTACTTCTCCAGTTGATAAAAAGTTTTTTAAAGACGAGATTTATGTCCTTGGACAAAATCTATAATGATTCCTGTTATTGCTCTTATCTTTTCGAGTTATAAAGTATATCATAAAAAAATTTAATATTTGTATTTCGACCTTCAATGAATCTTATCATACACTAAAAGTTTCAGCTAAAACAAACCTTTTCTTCCTGAAATATTACATGAGTACATTTTCGAAAAGATTTAGAAAAATCCAATTTTCTTGTAAATATGTTGTCTTATAAAGAAAATATTCAGCGTATCGTAAGATTTCTTTGTAGACGAAATTTCAAGATGAAATGACAATATTGAATTACTTCAATAAAATCATCAGAATACTTCTCTATTAAATTTAATAAAATCTAATTTACCTATTAGAATTTCAATTTATCAAACAGAATGAATATCAATATGAAACAAAAAACTAAAATCTTACATTTTGTATTCGACGAATAACTGTTGCCAAAAAAAATCGAAAGACATATTTTGTTTCATAAACTACACTATCATCATGAGTAATTAATCTAAAATGTAATTATTTTTTTTCAATCTAATAAATAGATACATATTAATTTATTATAATTATTTACGATAACCATGGATATACATGATCTCTAAGACATAAACAACAAAACTAGATAGAAAAGAATATATTTGAAATTATTTAATAAGAAAAATGAAAATTTACTTCATCTATTGCTGCATCAATTCGTTTTGATAGCATTAAATGAATCCATGGATTTTTCTGTGTATAATGACTATTTGTACTATGTATATTCAAAAGAAAATAAATAGATTCGAAAAAAAATATATATAATAGAAAATTACATCTGTTTTTTTATCAGTTCTTTTTCTAAATCCTATAGAAATATAAATCATAAATAAAAAAAGAAAAATCAATCAATTATTTATTTAATACTTTTGTTGGTTCAAAAAATATGAGTAAATTTGGCCAATATTTTGGAGATTTATTTAATGATAATCTAAATGAAAAATAATTTTCAATTAATCAAAAAAAAAAGATACAAATCATTGTTATACATACACATAATAATCAGTTAATTTATAACTAATTATAATCAGTAGAATAAAGATAATAAATTGAATTTTACTATATTAAATAAAATAATAGATAAAAAAAAAGTAAAAATTTTATTTCAATTTCAAGAAAAATATACCCAAAAACAAATAGAATTATCAATAGAAAAAGAATTACACATATACCAAAAAGAATTCGTTGACCAATATCAGTTAATAATATATTATTTTTATTCATCTAAAATATATTTAATTAAATCTGCATTTTTTAACTTTCTACTATATTTTCATTGATTTTTCTCTTTCAAACAAATATACCTCTTCTTTTGAAATCGTTTTATGTACAATACATTAACAACGATTAATAGCAATATTATATCAGGCTTCATAGACTCACATGTCTTATATTCAAAATTACTTTTTTATTTTTTTGCATTCATTAGAATGTAAATATTAATCTCGGATGGTATATTTCTTCGTTGTTAGTTACGTAAAAATATCCTGTTTACATGTTTGGTTTAGTGTAGTTACCGTCTGTATTACTAACGGTCATGTCATAGAAATTTTATGCTTATGTTCTTTCGTCATTCTCAAGGTGAACAAATATAATTGTGATTTTTTGTTTTCACTATATAATATTTCTCTACAAAAAAAAGAAAAACTAAGAAATAAGACTTTAAATGTATTATATTTCAATTTACTCTGTTATTTAATATACAAATTAAAAAAAAAAAAATATATATATATATTTACTTATTGCCATAGTCAAAGGAAAAAAAAAACAGAGACGATATATATTTATTATGTTGTAGATCGGAGAATGAATCAAAAAAAAAAAACAACAAAATTAAATCCATTGAAAGAAGAAAAAAACCAAGAACAGCGAGTTTAAAACAAAATCACAAATGCAAAAGTATGTTACATTGTTGTTCTATAAACATTCTTCTGGCTTTTTTTTTTTTTTTTTGATCTTAAGATATCGTTAAAAAAGAAAAATAATTATTTAATGAAAATATAATTAAAAACAAAAAACCAAAGATTTTTTCTAGATTAACAGGGAAAAAAAACACGAATCAAAAATAGTTTTCTTTTAGTATTATGCACATGTTTTTCTTTTTTTTTTTTTTTTTACAGATAAGTATTATTTTTTTGATTATGCTTCGCTGGATCCTGTAAATTCAAACGAATTTGTTGTTCAGATACTGGCTCGTCAGGAATAGTTGCTGCACGTTTATGTAGAAAATTTTCAAATGCAGCTGTTGTTCCACTGTCGTGATGGATTGGTTCATCATTATCAGGATCCTATTAAAATAAAAGTATTTTTACAATATTTTGTTTTATCTTAATATTCTATCATACATCGCCTTGAATTTTTAACCATTGTTCAACTTCTCGTACATCACGTTCAGGATCCTAAAAAAAACAAAAAGAAAGAATATTTTGTAATGAAGAGAAAATGTACGAAAGTTAAAAAAAATAAAACAAACGAACAATGATCAATTCTATTTTTTATAAGTAAATTTCACGTTTTTATGCTAATATTAGGTTTTCAATAGCTACAGTTTAGAATATGTATGTAGTGTTGAGTCTACATAATCTGAAATTGAATTATCAACATAACGAGAAGTATTCAATAGAGGTCGCCAGGATAAAAATTTTTCTGGTTCGAACCATACAGCTTGTTCAACTAAGATAACATGAGCAGAAGATTTCTCGAACGAGAGACAACCGAATTTATTCATTCAAAAATTTTTTTATAGGTTTTCGTATATTTTCTACCGATAGATGTCATGATAATAATTAATGATAATCGTCAGTGAAAATGAAGTATTTTTTTTTTGTGTGGATTATCTTTTATTGTATTTCGAATATTACTTTATCATTTAAAAAAAAGAATAGAAATAACAGTAGCATCGTTGAAGTTTGACGTCAGTAGATCATTTGATATTGTTACGAAAGCTGAAAAAATGTGCTTTTTTTAGAGAATGTAAAAATATGTGTTACTGTACTGTTGTGATGATAACGCTTTTTAGGAACAAACTTCCAAAGAAAATATCTGACTATCATAAGATCTGTTATCTTAGTTACAAACGTAAATTAAAATATTTCCATTTGGAATAGAAAACTTATTTCGAGAAATGTCAGCTGTTTTGAATCACTCTTATATTAGGAATCCTTTTGAATGAGTGCGGGTTACCACGATTTTCTCTATCTTCCTACAGTCGCTGTAATTCGGCCAAATGAAATGAAAAGTTTAGTACAACTAGAATTTACATACAATTCAGGACAAAAGTTTAAGTGAAATTATTTTTTCACATTTCTTTTTTCAGTATATTTTTTTCATATAATGAGATGCGGGTCTGATTCAAATAGTGATATAGATGGTATGAGAGGCCAGCTATATGATGTATTATAGAATGAGATTCTGTCTACCTATATAGATATTTTATGATAAAAAAAAATTTTTTCTATGAAAAAACAGTATTAGGTGCCTTTCAGTATTTCGCATTCTCTAACCAAGAGATTTATACCAAAATAAAAGAAAATTATATCAATCGATAGAGCATTTCATGCTCTATCAGTTTATAAAAAAACACTTTTTCCTCGAGTCGATCTTCATCTCTCAAACTTGGTTTTAGTGAGAATAGTCAGCATTTTTCTCCTATCAAAATAATTAAGAAAGAGCAGCTAATTGTGTTTTGCAAAATTTTATTTCAATAAGGTGGGTGTGAAAAATCAGTGATATTCGAATTTCAAATATAACATTTTGTTCAGTTTTGAATGCTCTTTCCAATGGTGTATAAAACATTGTGATAATAGGGAATTTCACTTTTTCCGTTTTGCAGACTATTCTCCCTAAAACCAAGTTTGAGAGATGAAGATCGACTCCAGGAAGAAATCTTCTTTTATAAACTGATAGAGCATTTCATGCTCTATCGATTGATATCATTTTCTTTTATTTTAGTATAAATCTCTTGATTAGAGAATGCGAAATACTGAAAGGTACCTAATACTGTTTTTTCATAGGAAAAATTTTTTTTTATCATAAAATATTCATATAGGTAGACGAAATCTCGTTCTATAATACATCATACAGCTGGCCTCTCATACCATCTATACCACTATTTGAATCAGACCCATACCTCATAATATGAAAAAAAGAAATGTGAAAAACTAATTTCACTTAAACTTTTGTCCTGGACTGTAAGTTTCAGCATTTTGCCACTTTAATTTATTGAGTTATAACCATTTGAAAGTATAAAATTGATGGATGCGTTATGTAGACGCAAATGAACAATGAATACTCTGAAAAGATTTTTGTGTTCTTAACTTATTACTATGAAGATACTGCATTTTTAACAGACACCGTGATAACAGAAAAACTAATTTTCGAATTTCACGACTAGGAACTTTATACAGACGCATGTTTCAATAAGAATAGTTTTTATATGAATGTTTCAGATCGTGTTGTTATTCCTATTCTAAGATACAATTAGAGTAATAGCATATCTTTTACATCGCTAATATAAAATTACAAAAAAAAAAATTTGCATTACTTTAACTATTAAAAATGATGAAATTG